AATGGTAAGCCAGCTGAACCATTCATTGGAAGGGAGACAGGTCCCTTCATTTCTCTGAGCTTTGGTTTCCTCATTTATAAAATGGAGAATAATTAAGTCTACCTCACTGGTTGTTGTGAAGATTAAGTGAAGTAATTATATATACAGGCTCACTTAGTACAGTGCATGCAATTTAATAAAAGTTCAATCAATGGTAGAGATGATTAACACCAGCCCCACTGGGACGTCTGCAAATTTGCAAAGAAGTATTTATGGTGTCACGTTAATAGATGACTGATGAGTCTGTCATAATGACATTTTATATTTGTTCTTCATTTTAACTGTCAACAAGCTAGACACGCTCGTTGAATAAAAATAAGTGATGTGTACAGAGCACTCAGTGTGAGGCAGGTACTGTGTTATGCATTTAACAAGCATCATCTTATTTCATCATTACTATTTGTGGTAGGTCCTATTCTGATGGTCAAACCACAGAGCCAGAAACCGAGGCTCAAGGAGGCAAAAGAATGTGCTCCAGGCCCCACAGCAATTAAGGGACATCAGAATTCAACAGGCTCTTAATGGTTTCTCTAGGTCGCTTCCTAATGCAGGACGAGTTAGGTATCCTGGTGACATGCCAGTTGTAGTCATGGGGGCAGAGGGGCCTCAGTGAACTACTCCTGGTACCCATGGTCGAGGCCACCACTGGCTTCATCCCTCATCCTTCAATGCAGATTGAGCTCCTCGCCTGTGTCAGCCACTACACTGGTAAGTAATACCCTGTAGGCTGTTATGAGCAGACTCATTTAGCTCCCTCTACTAATGGTACAGTGATGGTGTACGTAACTTCTCTTAGAAAAGGAAGACGAGAATTTTGGTCACTTGGCCATGCTTATAAGAATTCAGGGAAAACTGAACCCCAGGCCTTGTAGCAAGTGCTGCTCAGACTCCATAGCCAGGCCTTGTATAGCAGCACAAACATGGTTTGGAAATTGGAATCTCATCCTCTCCCTGTAAACATTCTAGAAATGGTTCTCTTGCCTACAACAGGAGCTCAATGCTCTGCACCTCTGGACTCTGCTGTTAAAGGGACTTAATTCTTCCATCTCTTCCTGTTTTTGTTCCTGCAACCAATCACTCAGGCTCTTGACACGCTAAAAACTCCCCAAGAGGAAAACATGCCTGGCTTGGTTAGCACTGTTCTTGGTCCTAGACCAGGTCATGGGTTAGGCCTGCCCATGGGTGATGGCACCGAGTCCACCGAGCTGTGGTCGGGGGCTGGGGCGAGAGGCTGCGCGCTGACAATGCAGAGCCTGCCCTCCAGACGTGCACAGCCTGGCCTGACTAGCTAATCCCAACTTGATTTGGCTGCTGCCCTCACCATATGGCAGACGTTGCTAATTAGCCGTGGCCCTGCAGAGGCCTCAAAGGTGTCTCGCTCCCCCAGTTCCCTGGGCCTGGTATCCCAGAGGGAAGATTCCTCCCATCGCTGGTCCGTGCCGTGATGGAGACTGCACAGGATGCCATGAACGCCCAGAGGTGAGAGCTCCTCCCTCTACTCAAATCACACCTCCTAGGTGAGGCCTTCTCCATCTACAGATTCAAAGGCCACGCCCCCTGCTTGTCCCCAGACTTCCTGTCCTGTTTCTCTGCTTGACTATTTTTCTTCTCAGTCCTTCTCTAGCACACTACACATTTCAGTACTTTGTTTATGGTATGTCCCTGTCCTCTAAAATGGAAGCAGCATAAAGGCAGGGGTTTTCGCTCTTTTGCCTTCTTTTATTGATCATTTCCTAGAATTGTGCCTACCCAAAATTGAACTTGATGTGAATGGAAGGAAGGGCAGGGGATCCAGTCTGGGTGGAGGTTTAGCAGTGAAGGCTTCCTACAGGAAGTGACACAAGCTGAGTCAGGCGAGCATCTGAAATGGAAGGGGCGTGCCAGGCACACAAAACGCAGGCCAGGAAAAGGGCAGCATGGTCAGGAACCTTACGTCGTAGCACGGCTGGGGCCTATGGTGCTTGTGGGGCGTGATGTGTGAGATGCGGGTGGACAGTAGACCATGGTCACAGGGGAGGGCCCTGCGTGTCTACCCTGGCGAGTGGGAAGCCTAAGCTGGGGCTGAGGGTCAGGCGGGCGAGGGTAGCAGAGAGCAGAGGAGGGCAGACTTAAGAGGCTGGGTCAGGGGCGAGCATCATTTATAATTTGAAAGTGAACAGGTTAACGACCAGGAAGCGCTGTCCTCTACTGAGTGCTACGTGCGGGGCAGGCAGGCGGGGTGGTGCAACCTGCACTTCTAATGCATTACTTCACCCACCCCCACCTCCAGTCATTATACCAGGATGCCACGGAAACAGGGCGAGGAATGAGTGACGCCTCCGGAAAGTGACCTGGCTGGCGAATTACAAAGGAAATTTTGGTGCCCTTGGGCCAAGCCACGGTCAGAGATCACACCTCCGTAGGCTTGTGACTCCCCTCCCCGCCCCCACTTCACCAACCATAGCACCTCACGCCTCTCCCCTCTCCAGTGCTCCATTGCCGCCCCCTCCTACAGGACACAGACAAAATGGCACCAAGGACCCCCAGGCTATAGGATTGAGGTAGGGGGGTCCAGAAAACCATGAAAGAATAAACAGAATAAAGGGGAGGGGAATGGGGCATAGACACTGGTACCAAAAGCTAACAGGAAGTTGCTTAGCAATGAGGGGACAGTCGGTGTTAAAGAAAGAGGGCTCCAAGTGTCGAGGCAACAACCAGCAGCGAAATCTCACTGGAAAGGAAGGGGCTTTGGCTAAGTGGGCGGACATGTGCTCCTTTTTCACTAGAGGACTAGGGCCACGGTGGGATGAAACTGGCCCAGAGAGGAGCCAGAGCAGGTGGGGGTCCTTCAAGAGAGCAAATGGGAGGCTTCACGTGGCCCTTGGGCAGGTACCGAGGAGAGGGGAACGGCAGAAACAAGGACCTCTGCTGTGGCTGCCCGGCAGCGTGGACCCTCCAGGCCCAAGAATGCCTCCCACTGACAGAAGCCATCAATTTGCTGACCTCACAAAGGTGGGCCTGGTTTCTACCTCAGCCCCAGTCAAGGTGATTCAACGTCACTGGAAGGAATGGACAGCGAACTCCTCCTTTCTCACCAGGGCCTTTGGGAGAGTTCCCCTGTGTGGACGACACCTGAAAGGTGAGCAGAGTACCATGTACCCACAGGGTGGTGAAGCGCACCGCTGCCGTTATTGTTACTGTACCAGTAACCCCAACACCTGGCCTTTGCCCACCACACCCCCACAGTTTTCCCGAGGGCAGCTGTCCCTCATACATCCCTCTCCCAGCCCTGCTCCAAACCATCTCCCCAAATTCACCCCGTGTACTTTCACCCCCAGAGCCCAAGGCTCTCCTGCTTCCTCGAGGACTTCAGCCCCTGACTGTCTCTACGTCCACCGCACCCTCATCCTCTCTTCCAAAGCCCTGGAGCAAACATTCCTCCGCCAACAATTCTCATCTCTGCTAAACCTGAGCCCCCAGAAGCACCTAGGATTATTCAACCCCATGTCAAGTCTATATCCCATCCCCCATCCCTAGGTCAGGCCTCAGGAGTGTGCTAAGTGGAAAGTCTCAATGACTGAAACCTGGAAGACCTGCCCCTGTGACCCACTGTCTCTATACCCAGCTGTGCACACGGAAGCAAGTATTTAAAAAAGAAAACAAAACCATAAAAAGCGGCAAGGCAGTTTCAAGATTTATTGAAGTGGGTTAGAGGACACAATGCCCAGCACAGAAGACTCCAATGGGAACTCCTGTTTCTAAAAAGTTACACCAGGAGCAGACAAGGGGACACGGAGGCCACTGGAAGACCTGGTCCAGACGGAAGGAAAGCAGACTTCTGGGTCCGCAGTGCTCTGTGGCACCTGCTGGGAAGGGCAGAGCCAGCTGAAGGTCTCCAGTTCTGAATCCCAAGTCCCCAGAGTCCTAGGACTTTCCCTCTGCCCCGCTCACAGGGACAAAGCCCTTCCATACTGTGCTAAGGCAACAGGAGAAGGAGGTCTGGTGATGGTCGGCGGCAACACTCCTCTTCGCTCTGCTATGCCAGCGTCCGTGAACAGCCCCAGGACAACCTGAAGGAGGAAGTCACATGAGGCCGGCAGCTTGGAATTTCTATGTCAGAAACACAGGCCGACTTAGCCCCTTGGCAGTTACTCACCATGAGGAGGCCCTTCCAGGGGAGCTGGGACCCAGGTGACCATCCCGAGGCCAGAGCTTCCACCCCTGAGGCTTCCTCCAAGGCAGCACCGCAGCGTGATGAGGGCCACGGGGCAGGAGGTCAGGACCGGGGATAACTCTCCAACGTTACCTCGTCTTCCTTCAGGCTGACACGTGTGAGAGTGCCCCCAATTAGTCAGGCATGAGCTGCGGGCTTTTCACACTAAACCTGGCTCAAAAAGGAATCTCAAAACTCCCAGAGAAGAGTCAAAATGAACAGTCTTTAAAAAATGGGCCTTTTCATGGCGACAGAGCAAAGGTAGTAACTGGCAGAGAGACGGCTGGAGAGCTTGCTCTCAGGAGCTCTTCCCACTCGGCCCTACCCCTGTGGCAGGAGTGGGGACCGCCACCCCAGCAGCTGTCCCCCACACTGTCATTACTGCCTGTACACCAGACTCCCAGGTGCTCATGCTCACCCCAGCCTCAAATCGTCCTCGTGTTCCTCCCTTCCCCCGAAGACCTTCCTACGGCCTATCACATCCCACTCCTTCAAAGGCCAGGTCCGCCACCTCCAACAAGCTGCTTCCCTTTGAAAATCTTACGGCAACCACTATACGCCACCCAACATCGTGCTTATTCATTACGTGTAATTCATCCTGGTTCCTTACACCCGTAAAGTATCTAAACCTGACACAGACGTAGCCTGGCTCTGCTAACAGGAGGCCAAGCTGAGACAGGCCAAGCTCGGAAGTCTCCTGTCACTGCCTGTCACACAGCAGCCCCCAGTGCCTGAGGGCTGGAAAGCACGGGCTGGAGAGAAGCAGGAGTGTGTGAAAGCGCCAGCATTTGAAAGGGACAGGTGTGGACCCTCCAAACACGGGAAATTGCTTTCCACAATTCCTCTCCCTGCATTATCAACGACCAGAGCACGGACAGCCCATGGCCACCTTTTGAATGCAGGTGCGTACAAGGCAGAGAGAGCTCCAGGAAGAGAAGGGAGTGCCAGTGGCCTATACGGTAGACCGAGTCTGGGAAAACCACCCAGCCAAGCACAGGACCCATGGAGTGGCCATTCTTTCCTGCAAAAGCCCAACAGGAACCTTCTACCAAGGGGAATCAAAGAGAAGTCACTTTGGGGCTTCCCTGGTGGCGCAGTGGTTAAGAATCTGCCTGCCAATGCAAGGGACACAGGTTTGAGCGCTGGCCGGGGAAGATCCCACATGCCGCGGAGCAACTAAGCCCGTGTGCCACAACTACTGAGCCTGCGCTCTAGAGCCCGCAACCCACAACTACTGAAGCGTGTGCACCTAGAGCCCATGCTCCGCAACAAGAGAAGCCACGACAGTAAGAAGCCTGCGCACCACAACGAAGGGTAGCCCCTGCTCACCGCAACTAGAGGAAGCCCGCACACAGCAACAAAGACCCAACACAGCCAAAATTAAATTAAAAAAAAAAAAAAGCACAGTACAAAATCCACTCAAAAAAAAAAAAAAGAGAAGTCACTTTGGACAAAAATGGGAAAATATTACAGTTGGAAATTACAGAAATCATGTGGTCTTAAGAACCACAAAGTCACCTCTAACACAGCTTTGGTTTTTCAAACGAAGAAAACAAGGTTCTGAACAGGACACTGACTAAGCCGGCAGCAGAAGGGGATTCAAAGCCAGGGGGGGAATCTCTGATGCCCAGGTCCACCCATTTTCCATCACAACATCCTTCTGCCCACACTCCAGGGAAGGACAGATACCCCACAACTCTCATTGCCCCAGTGGAACTCTAGAGGCTCCACCCCTGCAGCCGCCACTGCAGACAGTGAAGGGCCAGATGTGGTCCAGGATGCCCAGAGCTGGGGTGGTGAGCAGACCTGGGGACTCGTGGATGCAGCTCACCTCTCGGCTCCCCTACATCTTCACCCAAAGCCCTTGGGAACACACACACACACACGACTACCAGATCAGAGGACCCAACACTCCAGAGAATGGACCAGAGATCTTACCTCAAGGACACTGGAGTCCAGACCACTCCTGATGACAACTTCCATGACACCTCTGCACACAGTGGACTCACCTGCAACAGACAAGAAGCCAAGGATGAGCACCCGCCTTGTCCCTGCTCACAGCAGAGCATGTCAGGCACCAGGAAAGGACTTAGTGCAAGAGTTACCAGACAGTAAACACTCTGCAGATGTTGGCTGTTATTATTTCCTGAACAGACACACTATTTCCTCATTAAAAAAAAACAGTAGTGAACTCTAAAAAGGGAGACAATGGATGGCCTATGGCAGGGTGGCCAACGCTGACCAATGTGTAATTGATCAGTGATAGGCGGAAAAGGACGCCATTGCCAGGTTTACGGGAACGTGCCATGGCCGACTGATAGCAACTGGGCATCAAGGGGAACTTAAGCAGCACACAGGGCCTGGTTCCCAACAGCAGAGGCAGGAAGCGAATGCCCCAACAATGACACTAATGCACGCATGATAGACCCCAAGGTCCTGGAGGCCCGAGGTGTGGCAGGAAAGAAGCAGGAGTGTGTGGGAAAGCTCCCGGAACTGCAGGGTGAGGATGTGAACCCTCCAAATGCAGGACAACCTTACCATGTTTCCTCTGCCTGCACTACCAAAATGCAGGCCACAGGCAGCCCGTGATCACTTCCAAGTGCAGGGGCAGGAAAGGACAGAGGGCTTGCTGAAAAATGAGGCCAATGGCAGAGGCCTAGAGCAGTCGGCCTAACAGAGCACAGGGACCCAGTATTTGCTTCTAATCCTGCAAAAAAGCCTTCCACGTGGCCCGGAAGGGAGAGACAAAGGGAGGACACCTCTGAAAGAAAAGTGACAGAGTTCTTAGGTTGTAAAAGACAGGGACTAGGTGATCTGAGGACAAATGGCCTCACTGTAGTCCTGCTTTATGGAGGATGAAACCAGCGATAAGAGAAGGTCCCAAAGTTAGGAGGAGGCAGAGAAGTGACTGACACCTGGGTACAGGTAGGCATACAGAAATCCTTTCCCTGCCTCCGTTCACACATTCTGCTGCCAACATAACAAACAGTCGGAGGAAGGGCTCCCCAGGGGCTCTCAGAAACAAGCACGTAAAGAGGAACCAGGTGTGTTCTCAAAGGCCCCAGACAGGGTAACGCTGAGGGCCGGGTCGAAGCCACTCTCGTCTCTCCTCTAGCTGCTTCCAGGACCACGGCGGGACCTGCGTGTACCTTGAGGGAGGCAAAGCCCCAGATCTCCAGGGAACAGAGCTCACCTCAGCAGCACGTGGTCCAGCCGCTTCTTGACAGGATGGGGACACCTCTCAAGGGTCTCCTCTGCAACAATCGAGAAGCCCTGGATGAGTAACCTAGATCCCACCTGGCCACAGCACGTCCTGGGAAGCCCAGGCCAAGTACGTGCATAGCGGCCACTTCACAAACTTGGGCTGCTGTTACCACCCACGAGCCACGCCACCACTCATGAACAGGACGGAAGTTATTACTCCACATGGGACAACAGCTCATCTGCATCTGAGGCAGAGGCCTTTTCAGATCATCTTTTGGGCAAACTCTAATGACACTGTACAGTTTCTGGAAGCTGGATCTTGAACAGGATAAAAGTCCAGGACAGGTCTGGGAGCGTGCAGCACCTGACAGGCCATGCCTGGCCTGGTCTGGCCTTGACCCGGGGGTGGGGTAGGAGGGGTAAAGGCACCTCAGGCTGCCTGCGAAGGTGAGGTCTGGTGTCTATTGAAGCCTTGTTCAAGTGCAATACTGCTCTGGTTCCTGCCACCATAACCGCAGGCCATGGGGAAAGTCTCCCCTGGTGGACTGGGCACCATCTCATGCCAAGGGACCTCCAAGGGATAAATACTGGTCAATAGGAAGAACAATTCCAAGAAAAGGAAACACAGGAAGTGCCCCCACCTCTCCCCTGGCTGGCTGGCTCACAAGCAGTCTTCCCCTGATTCTCCATGACATGATGGGCCGCGCCACCTCACCGGGATGCGTCTGTCCTTTCCTTCTTTCCTGCTGGGCAGTTGTTGCACAGTTGCTGAGCACCGGACACCTGCCAGGCACTGAGGCTGCGGAGAGGCAAAACTCAGACACTGACCTTGAGATCAGAGCAGAGAGAGGCAAAAAAACAAGAAAACCAACGATTTCCATGAAGTATGATTAGTGCCCTCATCTCACATCAAGCCACTTCCCACACTACATCACACCAGGAAACATGCTTGATTAAGGACCTGGAAAGGGGAGAGGGGGGAGGCAGACCTGGCTTCCTGGAGGGAAGCCCTTGGTGAAAATTACCCAAACAGTGGCTCCACAGTCAGCCCATAGCTCCTTAGACACAGCCCATGCTTTATCTTCCTTTTTTAAAAGCTTCTCTGCAACTAGCACTGGGCCTCGCAGAGGGAACACTCAGTAAGCCAGACACCAGGGGCCAGGAAGCAGATGTAAAGGCGGCGGGAGGACGGCCGAGTGGGACAGCTCCAGAGTTGGGAAGGGACAGGAGTGAACCCTCCAAACACGGGGA